TATTCTATTTGGTTTCCTATTATATTAGCTGCTCAACTTTATTTACAGCTTAATTCCTTCCTCAAATTTATATATTTTTTTTTTCCATTCAAGCACAATTTGCAAGTTGGAAATAACAACCAAAATTCTGTCCGCGCAGTATATAACAGCTCACTTTCCAAACACAAGCACTAGAAAACTCATTACAAAGTACTTCATAAACTTCTGTCACTGCAGTACGAAGTGACTGTAAATTATTACAGCTTTTCCAATTTAATGAGTACATTTAAATCTTGAAGTGATGGTGTTACTGCCTGCACTAGGCACAGAGATTTTTTTTTTTTAAAAAAAGAGAGGGAAAAGAGAAGAGTATTTCACATTTACATTCACAGCATGCAGAATAACTGGTAAGCACTGATGTTTTTCAGATGAGCATACATTACTTAGCCTGCCACATGAAGGCATTCTGTAATTTGTAAACTATTTTAAACTCTACTGGAATTCAAGTTTTCTGTTTTATTTAAACATCTTGAAAGAACTAATATACAAAGCTAAAATTTTTGTTTTCAGTCTTTGGTGCATCACACTGTACAATTTTTAATTCTCCCTATCCCCTGTATAATTTGAAATTCTAGTGTTTTCCACAACCACTCACTATTTACCTGTCACACATCATGCTAAAAGCAGCGTCTAAGAAGTGTTAACTATTTTATGACTATTATTGCTAAAAAGTTTTAATAAAATCTGTGTAAGAATGTATTTCCACAGCCTTCTCCAACTACGGGTGACAAAACTCTAGCAACTAACACTGCACAAAATCATAGGAAAAAATATTTTTAGCGTTTTACCAATGTGGAAACAGATGTAGACACAAGAGACCACGTCATGCTGAGAACAGAGGCTTGGGATCTGACTGGGCTCCCTTGTTTTGATTAGATTGGGAAGTGAGTGCCCCCCTGGTACAGCCTATCTCAGTAAAGTCTGGTCAGCATGAAACTGCCCACAGGACTTTGTAACAAAAAGAATTAATGAAATTTCCTATTTCTGATTTAATTGTTCTTCTATACCATAAGAAAAGTTAAACCTAAGCAATGATAAGAAAATATTGAGAAAAGTTATTTGTAAATGTTTCAAGCACTTTACACTACTTAAAATAGGGGGGTTTTTTACCAGCTTTTACTCATAGAGGAAGTTATATTCACAAAAATAAAGTGATTCTTAAAAAGAATGGTTGCTCAGGTATACTTGCCTGATAACCTGAGGAGACTGGATATTAATAAAGCACACAAGAAAAGAGATTTCTTTAAAAGCACATAAGTAAGCGTGAAACTACATCATGCAAGCAGTAAAGACAAACAAATGCCATATGACTTACATGACCGAAAAGAAGGACTTCAAGTAGGTAACTCCCCAAAACTTCTATGTTAAAAAGCAGCATTTTAACATTTTGGTATATGTTTAACTTAAAACATGCTCATACAATACAGTTTACCAAATCTGAGCACTCAAAGACAATTTTCCCCAACGTTTTACTAAGAGAAAAGACTAAATCTAAGAATGTAAAGTAATATGTTGTTTGTAATGAATAATTCAGATATTACTTATTATTTATTATGAAAAATCCAGGAACTTCAATCTACTACCAAGTTGTAAAAATAGAATCTTTGGATTTGTGCATCTTGCTACTACAGTGTTTCCATCAGATTTTTCAATTGCATTTCAATGGAAATACATGGCAATGGTTTGATATCTTTAGTGGAACAAGTCTATTATAATTTTTGAAAGACACATGCAAGGTTAAAAGAATTAACTGCTACGTAAGGCCCTTTTCTTTAGGTTCGGGACACAGTATTAAAATACTCTGTTATCAGGGCAGTTCAGGTAAACCATCCACATTAACCCTATTCTGAGAATTCCACAGAGTATAACATATCTTCCATGATCACATTTACAGTTTTAAGGGATTAGTCACCCTTTTAACCATCGGTATTTAGAAGCAGCCCTGAAAAATGAGTTGTTACAATTACCTTGAAAACCTAAAAATCCTTACTATTCTAACAGCTCAAATTGTTCTGCTATCAACACAAACACCTAGTCTTTCACTAAGTCTTGATGCTCCCTGGTCCAGTGAGCTCCTCAGGCTAATTCTGCATTGTTAGAAAATGTTCTTCCTTCAGTCATTGTTAGAATGGCTCCATTTAAATTTCATCCAGTAATCCCTTCCTTTTGTATTTAAAAAAACCAACCAAACAAAAACAAACAAACAAACAGAAAAGAGAATGAGCTGACTGGCCAATTCTCTCTGTAACTTCCATCATTCTGGGTACATGACCATCACAGCTCTGACTGACTGTGTCTTCCCTAATGTCTGGATCAAAAAAAGAATCTCTGTCCAAAAATCAAATACTTGTTTGTTTCCAAATAAAAATAATAATTAAAAAAAAGAGCAACCTTAAAATGAAGCTCATGCTGTTCTTACATGATTTCTTGAAGTTACCCTCAGCTACACCTCCCAGTCTTTTCCCTTGCTTGGTATGGAAGCTTTCCCATTCTTCCACTAATTAACGACCCCACCTTTGCTTCCATTTTCTCTCTCTTGACACAGGGCAACCAGAACTGAAAAAAGCACATACCAGTGATTTATATGAGATTATTATATTTTCCCACACTGATCCCTTTTGTTTTCCTCAAATATTTCAATATTATGTTTGCCTTTCACACGATGTTGCTTATTAAAATAAAAAGGAATTTTTAAAGCCTGGAATTTTAAATAATTTAAAAAAAAATACAGAACTGGTCAGGGAAGTGGAGGGTGATGACAGTCTTGGTAGCAGTGATCAGTAGATGGTGAAGTCTGAAATCCTGAAAGAAGTGAGCAAAACAAATACTGAAATAGCAGCACTGGACTTCAGAAGATGCAGATTTGGCTTATTCTGAGATCTGCTTGGCAGCATCATACAGGAGACTGCTTTAAAGGGTAAACAGGCCCAGGAGATCTGGATATCTCTCCAGGGACCTCACACCAGGAGAATGATGCATGCCAATGTGCAAGAAGTTAAGCAAATGTGGATGAAGGCCAATATGAATGAACTAGGGGTTCCTGACTTAGTTCAAATGGAAAAGGAAGTAAGCAGAAGCTGAAACTGGGGAAACATTCTATAGAGAAGGTATATAGTGATATTGTGTGGGGTACAATGATGGAATCAGGAAATCCAATGCTCAGCTGGAAAAGAAACTAGCAAAGACAACAAGGAAGGCTTCTATATGTGTACAGGCAGCAAAAGCAAATTACCAAACTGGAGTTGCTATTCAGAAAGACCTTGACATGCTGAAGAAATGGGCTAAACAAGATCTCATGAAGGTCTACAAAAGCACGTGCAAGGCCCTGCACCTGGGATGGAACAGCTGCGTGTACCAGGACAGCCCAGGGGCTGACAAGTCAAAAACAGCTTTGCAGAAGACCTGTGAGTTGAACATGAGTCAGCAATGTGCCCTGGCAGCACAGGCAGCCACAAGCATGCAGGACTGCTTTAGCAAGAGGGCAGCCAGCAGGTCAAGGGAACTGATTATTCCCCTCTATTCAATACTGACGAGACCGTATGTGGACTACTGTTCCCAGTACAAGAAAGACACTGACATACTGTAGCAAGTCCAGCAGATGTCCACCAAAACAAGCAGGAGCTGTAGCAGATGACATGCAAGGAGAAGCTGAGTGAACTTGTTTGCTCAGTCTTAAGAACAGAAGGAGAAATTCTACTGCTGTCTTCCAGGAGAACAGAGAGGGGATGGAGCCAGGTTCTTCTCAGACGTGCACAGGAAAAGGACAAGAGGCAACAGGCAAAAGCTGCAAACATGGAAAATTCCAACAAAGTATCCATAAAAAGAAAAAAAATCACTATGAGGGTGGTCAAATGCTGGAAGAGGTTGCTCAGAGAGATTGTGGTATCTCCAACCCCAGAGATAACCAGATCCATACTGGACAAGGCCCTGAGCAACCTGATCTAAGCTGGCTTGAGGTCTGGGGTGCTCAGAGGTGGTGTCCAGAGGTTCTTTCCAAAGAAAATTATTCTGTGAATCTATTCTATGGTTCCGTGATTTAAAAAAAAGCAAAACAAAACAAGCCACTCACACTTGCAACACGTATCTCCTGAATTTCAAAACTTTTTTGACTCTTTACTTCAACAATAGAAATTGTATCAGGCACCAAAGGATAGAAAGTTCTTTTAAAAAACACACATGTTCTTGTGAGATTCCTTTTGAAAAATAAACTGTGAGTAAACCTCATCAATGTTAGTCTAAATGGAATGATATGAAAATACTGACTACCATCAACAGGAAATAGGTGAAGAAAATCTCTAATATCAAAACTGTATTTTTACCTAACACAGCGGAGGACATCTTCTGATGACATAGTAAAAAGTTTCAGACAAAAAAAGATACATAAAATATTTTGAAAACAAAATTGTTATAATTTACTTCAGTAAATAAAACCAGTATGAAAAATGTAATTAAAAGTACTATTCCAACATCATTAAAATATCTAAACTACACCAGACTGAGAAGCACTCACTTTATTAATTCTTCTGTGTACCTACATGACAAAGGCACAGCAAAAATAAACAATTTTTAGAAATAAAAAGAACTAAGAACAAAGACTGTGAGAGTCAATGACAGTATAAAGACTCTTAGTGATACTGTAATATAATGCTCTAAGTGGACTCAATTTTCACACTTAACTTTTGAGCTTTCTTTTGGATTTTGTGTGCTTGATTACTTCTGTCTATCTAGTGAGACAGTGCTAATTTATGCCTTCCTACGGGGATGACGGCTGTCTGTGCCAGCAACAGAAACTGAATCAAGAAAATCCAGAGCTAAAAGCTAACAGGCTACAGTCTCTTAACTCAGAGCTGCAGATTCATATTTTATTCATAAAAGCAGATACCTACACACCAGCTTGTGAAATGTATTCTTTTGGCATTTAACATTTTTATTTCGCTTATTAAAAAAATTACATATCTTACCTTTAGGTCACTTCCTGGCAAAGTACCTATGCCATCCTTCCAGTCCATAGCACTAAATACATCAAACTCTTGACCATTTCCACTAGAGGCAGATTCATTCATGATGCATGTACTAAAAAAAATAAACAAAAAAAAATTTATCTGAAAATGCTGTAAGTGGTTTAATGCTTATATCACCAGACATGTTTTCAAACACACTTCATAGATTAGTATCAAATGCTTCCCTCAGCACACTGGCAATGTGGACAACTGATGACAATGCTGATAATACACACTAATGTAATAAAAACAAGAGGAAATCTTTTGAAAACCTTAAAAAATTATACCTGTTCCATACACTAGAAGGCTATTAATGAGGCTGTATGGGAGAGAAATCGAAAATTTCAAACTACAAAGAAATTGACCTGGGGAAAACACACCTCAAGTACACCTAAGTAAAACATTTGTTCTGAGGAAGGCAAGACATGAGTGCATGCCTACAATAAATGCATTAAGCACTGATTAACAGAACTGCATTTCCTTAATATCAGATTACATGCTGCTGTGAATGCTTCACCCAAGTTCCAATTAAAATTTCAAAATTAATTTGAAGCTGCCTTTCATTTTCACTGTCTGACTCAGGACACCCAAATATTCTTTGTCTGTTTCCGTACAGTTTCCCTCAATTTTAATTTGCATTTGTAAAATTTATTTACATGCAGAGAAGGAAATATACACCAGAGAAAACTACTGCTTTTAAAGATTTTATTTTACTGGATCCCTCTGTTTCAGAACAGTGAGAGGAGAAAACATTTATCTTCAGAAACAGTGGATCTGGACACCATCTTCTGTGGTAAGAGTTTATCCCAAATAATTTGCAAAAGCAACAGAAGTATCTAACACTTGCCACTGACCCCTGGCTTTGGCCCACTTCTTGTCACTGCCACAAAGATGGCATCAGTTGCACTGAACTGCAAGTGTTTCTAGCACAAACTGGTTGTGACTACCACCAACTTCTTCCTTTGCACTTGTTACAAATCCAGCAATTGTTAAATCTGTGGCCTGGCACCTAATTTACTATTTGTTCAATGTGAAATCTGACTCATTTTCTTTCTGAAGAACTTCTGCACCGTGCCCAGCAGTTGAAACAATTAGCAGCAAAATTAGCTCTGTCTTAGGTTTGTGAACTATTAGCAAAAGCTCACCCCTTTTCAAATTTACACTTTCTGAACTTTTAACAACCACTTTCTAAGCCTCATACTCCATCTGCAGATTGCAAACTTTTGCTGCAAGTATCAGTATTCGAAAATCAATTAGGTAGAGAGCTTCCTCAGTGCCTGACTTTGTTTTCTAAAATCTAATTTCTAACTTGGGTCCCACTCCCAAAATCGGCAAACATCTATGAACACTCTCTGGAAATCTGGAATTTCCACAAAAATGACTGAGTGATATTTATTCACTCACAGATAACAGAAAAAAGAAGAAAATCAAGACAAAGTAAACTCAGGTCACCTAGTAGCTTTTTACTGAAAGTCTGAGGAGAAAAACCCTTAGCTAGTTAACTTTGTTGCACAAAAATTAATAAATTTACATATTTTTAATCAGAAAAATTGTACCTATTGCTGCAACATCATCACTACAGACGGATACTACTCTGGTTTTGGGTCCGTAGTGTGGACTCCCTTATATTTCTCCTTGGTTTCCTCCTCATTTCTGGCAGAATTCTTTAAAACCCTGAGTAACACCTTACTCCATGAGTAATTCTGTTACACTACAGGCACTACGCAATATCAACAGGATGACAGGAGCTGGACCTCAGTCAGGGTGAGAGTTTCTGCATCCCCCTTCATTTCATACAACGGGTAGGGTTCACAGAATGCTCTTTGAGAAAACTTCATGTATTTTAGAATGCAAGTTTGAAGTAAGAACACCATCATTTAATGTGTCTTCTCCATCGCCAATTTCAGTAATCCTCTGTGAGAAAGTATTGAAACATCACACTGCTAATGCAAAAAAACTCATTTTATAATATGTCAATAAACCTAAACAAATTCAGTGCAAACTGAGAAATTCCCTGAAGCCATAGACTTTATCTTTTAAAATCACCCCCACGCAAAAGCCACCACCATACCTCAGGGCAGCTCCTGCAATACAACTTGGACAATCTGTTTTGACCTGCGAGCATGGTACATCACAGAGCTCAAGCCCACCAAGCACCCAACCTTCCGCACCACAGCAGACCAGTTCAGGCAGGCTTACACCAAACTGAACTGCAGTGTGATGGCAGAGGCACAGGCCTTCCCTCAAGAATACAAGTCTCAAGTTGCTAAGGAGTAGCTGAAAAACTGGATCTATCCCGAAACCCGTGAAATTTCAAGGACACGAAACACGCTGGTTTAAGCACACTGCTGTGGCAAGCTCCCCACGATTAGCCTGGCTAAGCAAACACAAAGCTGTGTTCTGTATTAACTGATGTTTTTAAATAATCTTAAATTAACACCCTGTTTGGAGGACACCTCACTCAACCCTCCTGTGGTTTATTTGTTATAGAAAACATGTTCCAATGATTTCTGCACAAGGAACGACAGAAGACAGCAAGAGTTCTGGGAGGCTGAGGGGAAACACTTCCTCGCAGCGGCCGCTGTCCCACGGAGCGAGGGGCAGCGGGCAGCCACTCCATCAGATGCTGCCATTTCCGATAGTGCCACTCTCATCGTAGACACTGTCATAACAGAACTAGTTGGAAAAAAAATGACATGGAAAAAAAAACTTAGAGCCTAGCCTACTTAGGCAGAATGTAAACTGAAAGTGTAAAAAAAAAAAAAAAGTAAAAGAAATGTTCAGGGCATATTTCTCTCAAGAAAACATACAAATTTTAACTTAATTACACTTAGTAAAGTTTCTTTGGGTAACCATTAGCAATAAGCTATATTCTATGGTTTGATAAGGTATTCATTATTGTTTTCCTTTTAAAATTAACTCAACATCAAAGGCACAATCTGTACTTTCACATTCTGCAGCCTTCAGAAATGTTCTTGGTGGGGATGAAAAGGTCACAGGGCAATGCAGACAGAAATGAATTTACCAAAAGGAATTACATTTAACAAAATATCTGTTTCCAGCCTTGCTGAGTTGGAACAGATGAAAGATAGGGCTATATCCCTCTACCAATGATAATAAAGGGGGAGATAGAGACAATTAAATTGTAACAGCAATGAGGTACTAAAAAAGGATGAAATCATCTCAATACATACATCTACATCACAGAACAAAGAAACCTACAGAATGTCTTATCTACTCATTTTTGGTTTTTAAAGCTCTGATGTACTTTGAACTAGTAGAACTCCTTCCGTAACGACTGTATCCGCTATCATTCCTGTAGCTATACTTCCAAAAAGTAGTAAAAATACTAGATGAATAAGGGGCAAAGTAACTACAGTACTGTCTCTCTGCCTGTCACTGAATGCCACCTGATGTGAAGGAAAAGAGATAATAGTAGGAACTTGGAACAGTCATCATGCAAAAGCATCTCCAAAGTCCACTATGAGGGGTGCAACTGTACTTCAGCCTTCACAGCCATAAGCTATACTACTTATAGACTTATAGAGGAGTGTGCTGCATGTTAGTATTTCAATGTTAACTTTGTGTTAGACATATGCAATGAATTCATTAAAAGAAGCAAGCGTGTAAAATAAGATTAAACACATCCTTTAGAAAAACCTTCATTTTTACCAACTGGTTAACAATAAATGAGTACCTCACAGACGAGATACTTAATGAGTATTACAGCACTAAAAATGAGATAGTTTCACCTGGTGAAAAACTCTCTAAAGATATAAAGCAAAGGAACAGGAGAGAATATGCCAATTAAACTTACAAGTAGCTTTTGAAATAATTATAGGGCTATGTCCTGAATGCAACAAAAAGTAATAATAGGATTCTTCACTTCAGTCAGAACTTTAAAAAACTACCCGACACCTACCCAAATTCTGAAAATCTAAGATGCCACTTGTGAAATGTCCGTATGATTTCTACCCAGCGGGACCAACTCAGTACCAGGTCACTGGGCAGCAGAGAGGAGATTTCAGCATGGTCCCTCTTCATCATAGGGCTGGGTGACACCAGCGCTGATGAATGTTCAGAAACAAAGGCAACAGGTGAGTTTTTTGTGCTAATATCGTAGATGGTTATTTTGGGCATCTCCAAGGAGAAGGCTGCTTGGAATAGCATCCATGGGGGTAAAGGGACGCATTTTCCTTTTCCCTACACAATAAATCAGGAAAATTAAGTGGATCAGAAGAGGAGAACTCAGTGTACCAGAGCTGCAAATACACTAACTTCTAGACACCAGGGGACAAGTGGATACCCAGCTTCAGCTTTATTTAATGTGTAGGAAGGTGAATACTACCAGGGCTGACCTGTTACACCGCTGAAGCCACATGAAGCAGAATTACCCCTCACAACACAAGCTCCTTCTATTTCAGATAGACTTTTTATTAAGTTAGTCCTACAGTGACAGAAAAAGCAAAGACAACTGACTGTAAACTCACCAGGGTGTGCCCTGCCTTTCTCCTTGCAATCCTCTCTGAGCTGGGTGCACCTCACACTTGTCTCTTCCTCACCCTTCATCTTTTTACACCCAGTTCTTCACTTAAAGAAAAACAACCACAACAGGAACCGTGCAGGAAATGGCAAAGTGCTTTGAGGCTATCCACCACGTTTTAACATGTGTTTTGCTTTGTAACTATTTAATGTTTCATTAAAAGAAGTATCTGCAGATAACACATTTCCTTTAAAATCTCATTTTTTGTTGTTTAGGAACTACTTTATTAGCTCTGCCATGTTTCTATTCTGCATGTTGAAGAGCTGTTTCAGTAAATTTCACTGTTTTGCCTATTGCTCATGAAGTTTATTACAAGTAAGTTATTTTAAAGATATGTAGCTTATATATGTACTCACAAAGGGATCACAGCTTAAAATTCTTTGCCATTTTCAACACTCGCAACAGAAAATGGACCAGATTTCCTATTGATGATGTCTCTTTAGCATTATTTCCTCTTATTTTATCTGTTACCACTCTTCTGTCTGCTAGATTCCCTAGGGGTAGTAAGTATGTTTGTTCT